TGGATGCACAAACAATTGCAAAAACAATTCCAGTTCGCTGTAAAACGTGGCCACCTCGTGTGCCACACTCGAAAGTTGTTTTCACGAAATCATCACATGGTGCGTTTGCTCGTTATGAATGCAATGCTGGTTATCGACCGTCAATCAAGCACAACACCGTTAAGTGCTTATTTGGTGAATGGACCAGCGAGGGCGAACCATTCAGATGCAAACCGAGTGAGTTCAAACCGGTATTGGTTAACTTTTTTACTGTACTCCTTAGTGATCCACAGTCATTGTTCATCGTCGCTAAACTGACTCTCATTCTCATGGAATTTTGTGTTGAATGCAAATAGGAATCAATCACCGTACACCGCATATCTTTTACTGTAATGAGTGAATACGATGGGTTATTATAAATACAAAAAGAATTACAGTTTGGTGTGAACATCCTTCGAAAACATACGGAACACTTGAAGGTGGTCAAATAATGCTAGAAGGGCAAATGGGTGCGTATGATTTTGCTGAATATATCACTGAAGTTGAAGAAGGTCGATCGATTGTGTTCCAGTGTCGTAAAGGAAATATTCTTCTCGGATCTCCAAAAGTAATCTCTCTAAAGCTCTCAAAACTTTTGTCTCACTGTTCAAATCTCTGCAGATATATCGAGCTAGGTTCCATATCATTTTCCGCGGCTTCGTCGAATCACTTGATGATTGTTGAATGAATGGCGATTGTGTTGCATTATTGTAAATGATATTGTGGTAAAACTTGTTTCGCTCAGCATGAATGGAACAGAATGAATTATTTATGCTCCGCACATGGAAGATATAATTTAAGGCAACATGTGTGAATGGTATATGGATGCCAAGAAAGAAACCGAGATGTGTATCGCAAACTCATCCGATGGTTGAAGGTCAAACAACATGGTTCGAAAGAAGACGCCGATCTGTGCAATCCTGTAATGTACTCGCAAATGACTCAACGCGCACAGTTGTTATCACTAGACGAGGTGATTCTCCCATTGAAGCACTCGTATGTTTTTTTGTTTGTTTTTACTTGAACTGTTATTTTCGTCCGATTCATTCGATTGTATTATTTTAAAGTTATTTGAGTAAATCAGTGTTTGATCATTGCTTCCACACCAATTTTCTCTTGTCCAACTGTGACACGCAAATAGCAGTTTCATTACATTGTCATCTCAAGAAGTCAACAGTGAAAAATGCATTGAACCTATTGAAGGTTGTATGTGCAAATGGATTT